ATCAGAAGTGGCAATTAAATTCTTCTTGCTGGTTTGTTTGTTGTCAAGCACAAAGCTATACAGTTGTGTATTCTGCTCACCACGGGTATCGAAACCCGATTTTTAGCGCTAAGCCACTGAGTGACAAGTTTCTTTAACAACGAAAGGTGTATCATAAGTGGGAACTAACTATTTGTTGCAATACAAAATAGTAATATCAAAAATAATTTGTTATTAACAGACTATAATGAATAAAAGATGTATATGTAGTACTGTATTGTTTAGTACGATAAAAGTATGTTAATTTGATTCACAGAGAAGATAAGAAAGTGTTAACAGAGTGATTAACACCCACATGAAAATATTTTAGGACTATAAATTATTCTCTAAAACATTTAATTGAAGACTGGATTCATTTTAGTTGCTTTGGTGAAAAATAAACATACAATGAAGTAGTAATAAAGGAGAGAGTGAAGTAGAAATAAAGGAGAGAGTGAAGTAGTAATAAAGGAGAGAGTGAAGTGTAATAAAGGAGAGAGTGAAGTTGTAATAAAGGAGAGAGTGAAGTAGTAATAAAGGAGAGAGTGAAGTAGTAATAAAGGAGAGAGTGAAGTTGTATTAAACAGAGAGTAAAGTAGAAATAAAGGAGAGAGTGAAGTAGCAATAAAGGAGAGAGTGAAGTTGTGATAAAGGAGAGAGTGAAGTAGTACTAAAGGAGAGAGTGAAGTCGTAATAAAGGAGAGAGTGAAGTTGTAATAAAGGAGAGAGTGAATTAGTAATAAAGGAGAGAGTGAAGTAGTATTAAAGGAGAGAGTGAAGTTGTAATAAAGGAGAGAGTGAAGTAGCAATAAAGGAGAGAGTGAAGTTGTGATAAAGGAGAGAGTGAATTAATTTTCGTATCTGTATTTTTCGTTATAATCCATCAACGAAAAACAACAACAATAGGAACACTGTATTTGAAGTTGTGTCGTGTGTAAGGCTGCAGTTGTCAGTTTTACTGATGTTACAAACGTCAGCTTAATGCGACATACAAGGTATGAAATATAAATCCATTATTAAAAGCCACAAGAAACCACAGAGACAGCACAGTACATTAATATTTATAAATAGCATCTCAGACACAAGAAATACAGCCAATTTCAGGATGTTGGAAAAACCTCTTTCCCAAGAAAAACAAAACATTTTATGTTATCAATAGATTTCACACAGTGTACTTAAGAAGCCTTCCATCTATTATATAGCGTAAGTTGATTAATTAAAAATAAATCATATGCGGTTTTAAAACATCCATAAAAACATATAATACGATTTTTCTATGCAGAGAGTAATCCAACATACTTTACGATTTTTCCCTACAAACCGTAACACACCATACTTTACGATTCCTCCCTTACAAACCGTAACACACCATACTTTACGATTCTTCCCTATATACCGTAACACACAATAATATAAGATGATTC